CGGGGAGGGGGTGAAGATGGTGAACAGATTAAAGGGGAAAGGGGACGAGAAGAAGACAGAGAAGTCTGCGGATCAGTCGTCGGAACAGGAGGAAACCTGAAATGGACGTAAAAGCCTGAACACCGGAACACAGGGCCGTAAAAAGCTCGTCGTCAAATGCACCCCCGTACTTTCCCGCAGTTACCCCCTTGTCTGCCAATCCCTTTTTCTCTCTTTCTCGCTTTCTCCCTCTTACTCTGTTTCTCCCTCGAAATCCCACTTTTACTCGCGCCCTTTACCACCGCGCCCCTCGTCCCACCACCTTTGATAGCATAAAGCGGCTGCTGGGCGCGGCGCGCGTTTATTAAAAGCGCTTCGGGGGCTGGCAAAAAAAGACTCGGGAGACCCGCTGGAGGCCAGTGTTCCCGGCGTCGCTCCCGATCTCGAGTGGCCCGCAGGATCGTTTCATCGATCGATCGCCAGCTGGAGGAGTCCTCCCAGCGCGCGGGCAAATCGATTTAGGAAACCATTGGCCGCTCATCTGGATCCACGGTTTGGTAAAGTGGGGCGAGCCTGAATAGGCGGGGAGGGGGGCGATGGCTGCACCGAACAGCGGCGTTCGGGTCAATTCGCGTCGCGTTGACGATCTTTTGACAGGGGAAATAAAAGGAAACCTCCGGGATCGCGCCGGGGAGTTTTTCCCGGAAACCGGATATAGAAAGGATTCGCGATTTTTCAGCGGGACCGGACGTAGAGGGGATTCAGAATTTCGTCGCGTCCAAATAACAGGCCTGTTGTTCGGGAAGGGTAATCGGAGCGATGTCGAGTGATAATTTTTGGATGTTTGGGTCGTTTGATTGGAAAACGGTGTGGCAATTATGTGGTATGACGTGTTTCACAGAATTGTGAAATTTTTTATACAGGCGATCGATAGGGGGATCGGCTCGATCGTGTATGTCCCAGATAATATAGGAAATACATTAATTTTGAATTGAGCATAAATTATGTACGTAATGTAGAAACTGAGTCGCTAGGAAAGTGAAAATTATTTAATACTGGAATTAACGTTACTAACTGTTATTAAGGATGTCCAAGAATCAAGAGCAGCATCGTGCATAAAAAGCCTCCACTTGCCTACTGCTAACAAAAAAAATGAGAATAAATAATTACATATATTTCATTTCCCATATTCGTGCCTGGGTTACATTGTAAATTATCCGACCATACATCAGTCATTAAATAACTGTCTTCGATAATAACATAGTACTCGTAAAAGAAACAGCAGAAAATTTAAAAGTCGCCAAAGCGACACGCTTCGCGCAGCTACAGTCGGAGCCATTTAACAAGAAAATGATACCTCATTTCTCGTGTACTAAATCAAACGACCCGTAACAATTCTACAGATAACCCGTTCGAGAAAAATTGCGTGCATCGCTTCGATGCTTAATAACAGCGTGACATGCACCACCTATGCATGGTAGGGTCCGCGTAACGATCGATCGATCGTTCGTTCGTTCGTCGCGCGGAGAGATCGCGCGAACAAGACACTCGCGGTGTTGCCGTGAATAATAATGACCGCGATATTAATCGGTCGACGCGTTATTCGACTGCACGAATAAAACTCGGCCGGTATAGGCCGGTCGATAACGATCATTAATTAATACGTTGAACGTTTTATAAAACTCGGCCGGAATTGACTCGGTCCAGTGCGCGACCGTTGCGCGACGGGAAAAGGGGGCGAACGCGGGGGGTTGCAGAGGCGGTGACCGCGCTATATTCGGGCAGAGACTGATTTCCAGCGTAATTATCTTTTCGCCGTAGCTCTTTTCCGCGCCGTCATTATGGGCCGTGTTTTAACAGCGTTACACACCCAGCATAACTTGCGCAATTTGCCGGCGGTGCCCGTGGCCCGCGGCCGGACCGATAATTAGCGTCCGTTTAATATGCACAATTATTACGGATTGATAATCGGGGGCTGCGCATCCATTACACCGGCATTGAGATAGATGGTAATAGGTTTCCATCGGTGTTGCCTCCCTCCTCTCTCGGTCTCTGTTGCTTTGTCTGTATCCTGTCTGTGTTTCTCACTTGTTCCGTCCCGCCCTTTCCACCATCACACCCCAACCCTTTTGCGCCCGTTCTCTCCGTCGCGCGTAATCTCGCTTGCTCGATCTGCTTTCATAACGTATACCTACGTGCTAGCGACGGGACTAATTCTATTAGCCGTTTCAAGCATTTCCAATTGTTGCAAGTGAACTTTAGTGTACGAAAGAAACTTTTTAGTGTTACTGTTGCACCTATGTTTTATATTAACTTATTATACCGAAGACTCGACTGCGATATGGAAATGTGCTAGTACAATTGATTGCCCACATGGAAACAGAATGCAATGTCACCGCGAAATATTGGCGATATTTCTGAATGGTTTATTTTTATTGTTCAGGCACATTCGTCAGAGGATCTAAGATCAGTAAAGTGTCGCTAATTGACTACATCATCTATTTAAACGCTGCAGATTCAACGACTTAATCCCTTAGTGATTGAAAACATTTCAGTTTTCTATAAGTACAAATTTTTCTATTTTCGTTTCGAAAATATCTGAAATATCGGCGCGGCGAAAATGTTTTCCCGGGGGATTGTAAATAAATATGAATTCCGGAACGTCGGGGTTCACAGAGTAACATTTTAATCAACTTCTGAAAATGCAATATTCAAGCGCTCGCTATTAATCAGCGAGATAATTTTTGGAAATACAATATTCAAGTGGAACGAGAAATTTCGGGGCGTACTAATTACGCGATACGTTATCCGGATGTTTGTAATGGAACCCCACGATAATATTGCTTTACGGGTTCGAATAAATGATACGTTTCCCGAAACCAGTATAGGGGATATAAAGTCGTAACGAATTCGTAATGCTGACAGGAACGAAAAAGCTGATGTCTGGTCGGGAATTGATGCTACTTGCGGGTGTATCGTTCCCTTCACTACTCCTCGTCAGCTCTTTCATCATCGCTGTTCTCTTGCTCTGTTCCTCTCCGTAATCCTCTTTCGCTCTGTCTCTGTTGGTTCACGGTCCTCCTCCCATTCACGCTCTCCCTTTCCATCGAACTTCTATTTATCCTTGTTCCACACCCTGCAGCTGCCTTACAGGATCTCCTACCACCAGCAGCCCGAGGGCTATGAAATTGAAATATGAATGCTAATGGGGTGGTTGGCTCGTGTCGCGTCGTATAATGTTACTGATTGCTGGTACGTCGGTCTTTTACCCTTCCCTCGGCAACTTCCCTTCTGTTGCTGTTGAATACTGGGAAGAGGCTAACGCGCGTCCCCGTGTCAGTTGCTTGCGTGTCGCATAATTGGAACTTCAAATAATGCTACGTCATTCCCACGATGTATCTTACTGCGTTGTGAGTCCGATCGCGAGCAAGTTACGAAGCAGGGTTGTGGTTTCATTTTTAATGTTGTTTCTCGTTGGCTC